ACCATGCAGCCTAACAACATGCAGTAAATTGCAGGTTAAAGCAGTTTGCTTACACATTGTTAAACGGGGGAAGGGAACTAATGTGGCTGTCACATTACCCTTTTGTCCCATTTCATCCCAGGACTTGATTAAATTGCTGCTCACTTTCTACAATACTTAAAACTGATCAGTAGGACCTGAAACTGCAAACATTCAGGCCAAGAATCAGTTGGTGAACATATTAATCTACTACAATTAGCAGAAATGAATAAATAAACAGAAGAAAGTTACAGTGATAACAGAGTCATGCAAGTTTTTGACCAAGAGGTTAAACTCATGCAAATGACCTTCACCCAGGCTCATGAAAACACTGCCCTGCTTATAAACAGCAGATCATTTGTGTCAGTGTGTCAGGATGGTTTATATTTGAGCTTTTAGTTCACACAGAACAATTTTTATTAATTTTTTTTAGCGATTTCCAAAGTCTGTGAATCCCCAAATTGTTCAGTTGTTCTCTTTGCTCCCCATGAGGTCACCATGTGACAAAAACAACACCCCACTCTACACACTCGGGCCACCAGCAACTTTCTAAATCCTCAATAAAAAGCTGACAGGTTGCGATGATGTTCCAAATAACTTATTAAGAAAACAACTACCGTAATTGTCGGGCTATAAGGCGCTACTTTTTGCACAAGCTTTGAACCCTGCGGCTTTTAGTCAGGTGCGGCTTTTCTATGGATTGTCCATGATTTTTGTCATATCATAAGACGATTTGTCTTATTTGTTCCGCTGTTGTACGGCACTACGTTGCCTGGCGGAAGGGCATGTGATCAGACACACAGTATCGGGGTTCAAGAGTGGTATGTTGGTCACATGTCCATCCGCCAGGAAACATAGTGCCATTCAAGTAGCGCGAAAAACAAACTTCAAAGTAGCGCTACGCGTTCAGCGGGAGGCGTGGATGACGAGCGCCGATAAACTTGCGATAAGCAATGTAATAGAGTGAATTGTTGCCCCCCAGTGGTAAAATACAGAAGTGCCTGTTACAGGGCTAGTTCTTGGTTGACCAATATATAACAACAAAAAAAGGGTAGTTTTCTGCACCGCTAAGAAACAACAAGTTAGTGTGTGATGTCCTGCTGTTCAATAAAGGCACCTATCCACGTCCTTCTGTCCTG